CAATTGAACAAATAGACTTAATTTACATTTCATCATTGGGTCTTCCTCCATGCATTTTGTCTTTGATACATTTCTGTTTGAAAGAGATTTCAAACTAAACTAAAACATTTTTAAAGATTAACTCATTTTCAAATGAAAGATTTTCTGGTTTTCTTCATCCTGCTTAAAAACAGTGAATATTGGATTTTTCAACCTTCTCATTCTTTTAGGCTTTTCTAAAGTTTTTCTTTCAACATTTTGTTTGCTTAAGTCACGTTCTATAAATCTTGGTTTCTGGAGGAAATTATTTTTGAATTTGAATGTCAGACTGTTCTTGGTATTGATAATTTACAAATACAAATCAATAAAAAATTTGGTGGTTTTAATTTAAATAGTCACCTAGTTTAGTAGTTTGGCTTCGTGTCAGTTTTGGTCTCATGTCACATTGACATAGAAACAGGTTTAGACAAATAAGGTTGATAGCAATGTAAATACCCATGAAATGACTCCTTTCAAAGGCAACCTCAATTTCATTATTCAACTTCTATGATACAAAATAGTCATCTGACTGTGAAGGTGAAGGAAAAAGATGGATCAGGTGCTTTAAAGGAGTATTCTGCTTTAAAGTTGTCATTTAATAAATGAAATCCATTACCAAAAGGATTTCTCCTTTTACTTGACCTGGGGTTTTCAACCTGGGGTAATTATCCCAGGATATTTTTGGAGGGTAATGAGGCACTTTACTGTCTATGATAATTATTTTTGGACAATTATGATACAGTCTCTTGCAGGGAAAACCTTAGAGAAAACAGGAAGGATTTATAGGGGCAATGACCCAAAAAGATAGATAAAAGGCTGAAAACCCCTGTACTAAACATTCTCAGAATCTGTATTCCGCAAAACTTCAGGCTGTCATGGACTCATGGTTATGAACAGGGGTAATATCTACAAAATTTCTGAGAAGGGGGCCAAAAAATGAGGATGGCCAAGAATATGGGGGCTCTCAGAAACCAATGGATTCCAGATGGCCTCAGATGAATTTTTATCATTTAGAGGACTTGATTTTACTTAAAAAACAAGACCTATCATAGGCTTGAGGGGGAGGCCATGGGTCATTGGCCCTCCCTCTAAATATGCTACTGGTTATGAAGACTTCTATCATATCATATTCACTATAGAATTACTTGTAATCATTGCACATTTCTGTTTTGTGTAATTCTAATATCATTGATGGAAAAACAAATATTTTGCTGTAAATTGTAACGATAAACAGATTGATTGTTAAATGTAATCAAGCAGTAAATATTTTTGCTAAAAGCTTGAACCAATACCAAAACTAGAACCACTCGTGATACTGAGTGGGACTTTGCTCTTGAGCCAATTTGCTAGAGAATCTGAAAAAATCAACGTTCTTAGCCAATTAGGTCACATGCTAAATCAGTAAAAAATTTAGAAAATTTCGCTTTTTTGGAAGGTTGTGAAAGCGGAAGTTGAAGCCAGACAAAAAATATGAAAGTATGATTAGATTTCTAAGGTCAATGACCTTTTATAATGTTAAGGGCAAGGTCATTTAAGGTCAACGTCACTAGATATGAGTCATCAAACTTTGAAAATACAAACATTATAAAACTGGAAGTTGACGATGAACATCAAATATGAAGGTACTAATCTTTAGCCATGGTCCATGACCTTCGATCTTACAAAGGTCAAGGTCATCAATGGTAAAGGTCAAAAGTGGAAAATATGCAAAATTTAAACCCTGTTCCTTTTTTTGAACTACGAAGCGGAAACAACTGACCTTTTCACACAAAATGGCCAAAGGTGTGAGGTAATTGTATGCAAGGTCCTGTTTTGAACAAATGTATTTTATACAAGTTATACCTCTGATAAAAATGTAAAGAATAAGTAATTTAAGCCTAATGTGCCACGCCCGAAATTTCAAAAATTCAGAAATTTCAATTTTGCATTATATATCACTGGAATGAGCACGATGAGCACATTCAGAATCCACAAAAATTTACCCTCAAAGTTAATTAGGTCACGAGCTAGAGCAGTCCAAATTTGCGAATTTGGCTGTTTTTGGACAGCTATAAAACCGGAAGTAGACGTCAGAGGTCAAATATGAAACATAAACTGATAGTCAAGGTCAATGACCTTTGACCCAATAAAGGTCAAGGTCATCAAAGGTCAAGGTCATAAATTGAAAATTGTGAATTTCCAAAACCTGTTCCTTTTTTTGAATTATGAAGCTGAACTAACTGACCTTCTAAGACAAAGTGGCTCAAAGGATGACGTAACTGTGAGCAAAGTTCCATTTTGAACAAATGTATTCTTTGCGAGTTATTTCTTTGGCCAAAAATGTCAATAATGAGTAATTTAACCCGGATGTGCCACGCCCACCTCAATTTTTTTTGCATAGGTTAATTGATATTCAAATTGTGATGCTATGTTCAAAATGTCAAGCTTCTACATCATGCAGGTCAAAAGATATAGGTCAACAGAAGTCAAAAAAGGTCAAAATCGAAAAATTGAAAATATGGAAATTTTAAAACCCGTTCATTTTTTGGAACTATAAAGCTGAAATAACTGAGTTGTTAACACAAACTAGCCAAAAGGATGAGGTAATTGTGTGCAAAGTCCCTTTTTGAACAAATGCGAGATATGCCCCTTCCTTTAAATGTAAACAATTAGTAATTCAACCCGGATGTGCAACGCCCACCTTAACTTTTTTGTCCTAAGTGAATTCATATTCAACATGTCTAGTTGTGTTCCAAATTTCAAGGTTCTACATCTAGTAGATCATATGATATACATACACCAAGCTCAAAGAGACATAAATATGGTAAAAAACCACTCAAATTTGAAAAAATCAAGAATTTCAATTTTGCTTTTAAAATACAATTGTTATACATCGCTGGAAAGAACATGAGAAGCACATCAAGAATCCGAAAAAATTAACCCTCTAGGTTAATTAGGTCATGTGCTAGAGCAGTCCAAAGTTGCGAATTTGGCTGTTTTTGGACAGCTATAAAACCGGAAGTACATGTCGGAGGTTAAATGTCAAAGTATTAACCATTAGCTAAGGTCAATGACCTTTGACCTTATAAAGTTCAAGGTCATTAAAGGTCAAGATCACGAGATATGACCCTTTAAACTTTGTAAAAATTCAACCGGAAGTTGCAAAAAAGCAAAATCGAGAATCGAAAAACGGCTTCCTAATGTCATGTTTTTTTTTTTTTCTTTCATTTGACACAAATCATTTAAATCAGATAAGCCGTTATGTCTGAATAAAAATCGAATCATTTCAGTAAAATCAAAATGCCGGCTAAAGTTTCACGTCTGGTCCGGATTTTTTTTTCTTCGTTTTTTTGTCATAACTTTGTCTACCTATCAGCATAAAATTTTTTGAGCTCTACAAATTACACCAGAAGTTACTCAACCGGAAATGAAAATCGATTTCCTGTTTAAACCGGAAGTGAAGTTGAAAATTTGACTGTACCATTTTGTTTACTTTCTTAAACTGTCTTTGCTCAATTTTTTTCAGATTTTCAGACAAAAAGCAAAAAAAAATTTAAAAAATGCAAAATTTGGCAAAAAAAATTTCTGCTACAAATTTTCGAATTTTGAAATTTTGAAAGTGCTATTCCTTCAGATTTCAACAGTAGTTTCTAAAAATGCAAACCCAAAGAAAATCGACCGAAAAATACGACTTCTAGAGCCGATTATCTATTCTTGCACATGTTGAACTGTGGCACTTCTGGTTTTGCAAAAAAGATCCAAAATATATTTATGCACATCGTCGCCTATATCTAAGGTTCGCAAATGTTGAATTGGTGCTGCAACCATTGTAGTCTAAGCTCAGGAAGGTTTGTAAAAATAGAAAAAAAAAAAAAGAATAAACATTTCAAAAACAAACTGGGACTTTGCAGTAGCAAAGTCCCACAAATAATGATAATAAACCTTGTTGCAGAGTAACATTACTTAATGGACTATTTCCACATAGTGCCTGAACTGACTATATTTTACTTATTTGAGTAACTGATATTCTTTCAGCAGTGTGATATAGTGGAATTTGTACTTGGAATGATAGGGTGTAAAATTGAAGAAACATTAATATCAATGAAATTTACTTTTCAATATGATGAATTTAAACAAAGAAGAAAAATGTTAATAAAAATGACCGCACTAAAACATGACTTCATATGATATCATTTTATTATAAACATTTTTTGAAATAATTTTTTAATGGATAAGGCATAAATGAGAAAAATGCAGATGTTCTAAATGTATTATGGAAAGTTAGAATTGTTAATTGATATGATATGTATTTCAGAAGGATTTCCTGAGTATTTATGATATATATTAACTACAGCTTTTGATCCTATCTGCTTCAATACAATACCCTTTTAAGTTCTACTCACGTAAGATGCAAGATGTAGAACAGAATATTAGAGGGTTATGTCCCTCATAGTGTTAGCCTTTTTAATTTTGTATTGCTTCTTTTTGCACACTCCATCTCATAAACCAACCTACTTCAATTATGACAATAGATTAATTTAGATTAATTTGATATTTTAGCAATTACAACTGGTAATTTGACCTTTATTGTCTTCATCTATGAGTTGTGAATAAAGTCTGTTTTGATTATTTCAGGTGAAAATGAAAAGCGTGTGCGGATGGCTAAAGTTGCAGAAAATCGTATGAAAAGAATTGAGCGTGATAAAATGGTCATAAAACAGGAACCCATTGATTTTGAATATCCTCCCATTGTAGATTCATCTAATGCTTGTTCTTCATCGTTGGATGAAACATCGAGTAATTCAGCCTACAATAATTCTGATTTATTCAGTCACATTCCTAAAAACCTTTTACCTTCGGATCCTCTATCATATCGTACATTAACGAAAGACGAACAGGAATTATTGGAAGATATCACAATAGCATATCAAGAAACGGTTGGTTGTCCCTTACCTACGAATGATCCAAAACAATCAGAAGATGACTTCAGTACCAAATGTAGTTTGGTCAATAACTCAGAGTTTGCGGTGCGTCGGTTGATTAAATTTGTGAAACGAATGGCTGATTTTAATCTACTTCGCCAAGAAGACCAAATAAATGCGTTAAAAGCATCGGTTGTGAACACTCTTTTATTACGATCTGTGGCTTTTTATATAGTGGAAAGAGACTCCTGGTTGACTCCAAATGGTGAAATTTCTACCAAAATACTAAAAACAACGACTCGTCATAGTGATTTATATGAAAGTCATATCAAATATTGTCGTGGTCTAAAATCTCTGGTTGTGAATAATACTAAACTATTTGCACTTATACAAACTATGATTGTATTTAATCCTGATGCTAGTAATATTCAACAACGCAGTAAGGTTGCTGATATACAAGACAGATACTTAATTTTACTCAAACATTATCTAGAAAATGTATATTCCTTTGAATTTGCTAAAAATTATTTTGTAGCAATATTAAGTAAACTTTATGAATTGAAAACCATTAGTGACAATCATGCTCGAGTTCTGCTACAAGTGGATCCAGCAGAAATTGAACCAATCATGCTAGAAATATTAAATCTGAAATAATGACTTTGGATTTACAGATAATTTGTGTGTGAAAATATTCTAGAAACACTTCTTTCCTTCAAATACTTCCATGACTAATGAGATATGATGAAGGTCTCAATGACATGTGGGTGAAATGATTTTAACATAAAACTGCTACTTCCTAGTTCCATCTTTCCTCAACGACAGATGTATGGAAGACCTGTTAATGTGACAGTTATCAATTGTTAAGGAATTTTCCACCAGTCTGTATGTTACTTCTACTACACTGACATATTAAAGAGAGATTACAGAGAGTTTTCCTGGGTTCTTGCTGATCTTATACTTAATTTCATTGTAAAGGATTTTCAAGCTGTCTGTCTCTTATTACCAGGAGCTTTGATTATTGTTAGAAACTCTAGATAATTTTAGCGCTCCTGTCATGTGATAAGTCATGCTACAAGATGATTTTAAGCTTTTTTCCCTTCCAAATGAGATAAATCTATTTATTTATATATAACATCAGGTTATGAAAGATTAATGAGACTTAAAGAATTCCACCTCTTAGATTAGAATGAACTTTAAATTTAAAAGTACATTCTAAGAGGTAGTATTCCTGTAATATATATATAACTGAAACCTATGTTTCAGGTGTTGATTACAGAAAAAATAGCCACCATACTCGCTTTGACCCTTTGAAACTAATGATTTAAAAACCATATTCTTGTTTTTCAAGTACTGAAAAGATTTGGATCTGAAAAAAATGTGCTTTTGCACCTTGGAAATTTGCTGCAAATATGAAAAAAGATTAATGATTTATAATCCTTTACAAGTTGATTTAAAGTTGTTTCTTTGTTTAAGTTTAAATACTGCAAATGTGTGATAGCTGTTGTTTATCAGAACACAATATATTCCTTGAATTGCCCATGGTATCATGGTATATTATACTTGTCTAGGTTTTAAATTACAACATATCTCAATTCAAAAACCTAAAATACCTTTTATCAGAGTCAAAGTATATTCAATTTAGAAAAACAGGAAATAACTTAATGGATTTTCTTATTTAAGTTTTATGTAATGTGAACAAAAATTTATGCTATAAGATACTGAGGTTTACAAGTTTGAAAAGTACAATGAATATGTATATTGGCTTTTCCATGTCCTTCTGTCAATCCATAATTGTTCAGAAACAATATAGAGGATACAGACTTAAACAAAACCTTGCACCCTATTGAAATTAATAACATCATAAAAAAAACTTCATATTATGAGTTATTGCTCTTGTTCTTTGAAACATATTCAATGTTTAGCTGGTAAAGATTGTAGAAAGGACATTACCATTTCTGAAATGAGTTACTGTCTCTGTTTTTGAAAGGGATTGTTTCTAGCTTGTAAATACATAATTTGTGACAGATTTGATCTAAAGAAAAATTATAAATTATCAGTTAGAGGAGAGACTTATTGAAGAACAAAGAAGTTTGAAAAAATGACTAAAGGTTGAATTGGTGATTGTTACTACCAAAAGTTCCTATTTAATTACAAAGCTGCAATTGGGCGTATATTACCAGCTTTGTAAGCTATCTTTTTATCTTGCTAATGTTGCAAGTAAATAGCATAGAAAAGATAGTTTCAAAGATAATTAACATGCCGATTACATCAAGTTCTATTCAATTCAACGTAATTGACTATTAAATATTCCTGTCAAGCCATGTAAAACATTCAATAAACATATAACTAGATGATTAACTTATAAATGCTGAGTTAAATAGTCCTGCTAGTGGGGATTAACCCTTATGGACTCTGGTTGTATGGCATGTTTTACTCCTATTGTGCAGGAATTGTTAAAGATAAGATGAGGCTTGGCTTTTGCTTACAATTTACATCGCTCCACTTTTTTTTTAAATGTTTGCACCTATTGTCTCAGTTTGAATTCATCTTTGAGATTTTCAAATAAATATTTTCAAATTTAAGCCTAAAAATAGACAGTAACAATGGCTTTAAGAAATTGCTTTCTTATTTAATCATGTGTAGGTTGAATATTCCTGTTTTGTTATAAGATTTTTTCTCTAAAGAAGCAACAAAATATCACATCACATTCATAAATGTAGAGTTGTCAAGGGATAGACATACAAGTTTACAAATTATTAAGAAATAAAATTCTATGTTGATATTTCTCAGATAGTTACTGTAGAGTTAGTAGACTTTACTTTATCTGGATTCGACTACAAACTTTTTAGTCAGTAAACAAATGAATTCCAGATAGCATGCAATGGACTTATTTATTGAATTGAATTTACTTTATTTAATTTACTACATTAAATTGAAATTGACGCTGAAAATGGCTGCAACATATAAACCACATTTATCTTGTTATTGTTTTTTTTTGTTAATTGTTAAAGTCTAGAAAAGCACGATGTAGTTATCCTTGATAAAGGGATTGTAAAGAGGTTTTCTAGCCTTTTTATATGTATTGGGGATACCCTGAATTCTATTTGGGACATTCAAATTCTTTTTCCAATGCCTGTGATTCCTGCAATTTCAGATTCTTAGAAATTGCTGACTAGTTCATTTTGCTTCACCGTTGCCTTATAAAACTCTTTTATTGCTAAGTTTTAACGGAATGGAAGAGTTGTATGATATTTGTACAGTTCAAAGTGCTAAATATCCTTATTTGTGATAAATTTTGAATATAGAGAGGCAAACATTTGGTAAATCAACTTATTCCAGTATTGGCTGGTGGTCTGGTAGTATAATGGTTACAAATCTCTTGCAGGATCTACGTCATTTCCGGTTATCTTTTTCTGCTGCAGTTGCAGGAAGCACAGGCATTGGACGAAGAATAGAAATATCCCAAATAAAAGTCTAAGATGTTCCTGATACACATAAAAAGGGTAGAAAACCTCTTTAAAATAACTTTTAGCTATATTTATATTGCCATTCAATGTGTTTAATCCAATATAGGACACGGTCAATTCGGTTGTTGGTAGTACTGTAACTTAAACAAGATGGTTATTTTTAGGTGGTGGTCATCCTTGCCAGTAGTTCGCTTACTATCTACTAACTACTACTGTTAGTTATATTTGTTTATTTAGCTGGTAGTTTGATTACTATCTTACCTGGTAGTGTGATTTTTTAGCTTATTGTTTTTCTAGGGAACATGGGTGAATATGCACCCCCTAAGAACTTGATTTCGAGAACAATAAAAATTGGCAATTATGTTGAATGATATGTACAGCTTTCATCTTGGGAAATGAAATTATCATTCTAGATAATATAGGTTAATGACTCTATTAATAATGACTTTATATAGTAGCCACTGATTTTAAATATGATGGTATTAAAAGAGCAACATGTCACAAAGCCTTAACTGTTATGTGAAAAGGTGAACAAGAAATGTTTAATACAAGTGAGGCTGAAACGTCTCAAGGACCCTTATGACACACACTCCAAATATTAGATGAAAACTGGTACAAACCTTTAATTATCTGTGGGAATTTCAGCAGGCCTTCAAATAATTTGTTGTTGGTTGAGATTATGTAAAAAGATAAAATGCTATCTGATGATTAACGGTAGAGTTATCCCGAGGAAGCATTTTGCCCCATGGGGCTTATCCTCCCATGTCACCCAATAGCTAGATGGCTATTTTTTCTGGTAGCTACATGACCATTGTGTCCAAACCAAGCACCCATTCTTTATACTTCCTAGTGACCGTGGTAATACAAGTGAGAGAAATTACATAGTCCAATCAAAATTGGCCCTGAAATCTTTCAAGGAAATCTGCCGTTATTTTTACCCCCACAAAACGAAGTATTGAGGGCTTAGTTTAATATGGGTTAATAAAATCACGTCAAAACCCATATTCAGGATAGGATTCTTGTAGTTTGATTACTATCTTAGCTGGTAGTTTGACTGCTTTTTCTACCTTAAGTTAAATGGCTCTTATAGCTGGTCTTCTAGTATAACAGCCTGGTCTATCGGTAGTTAGCAACTAAAAAACTTACTTTGCAAGAAGGTTATCCTACCAAATAGTTAAATTACTATTTTCGATTGAAGTCATTTTCTGTGCTGTTGATATCTTTTTGCTATGTTACAAGTATACAAAACCTTTTTCTTATCATATGATATTGTCCCCAATGTTATAGATAATTGAACATCATGTTCTATTATTAATAATCAGGAAATATTTTTGTTATATTTCAACACCGTAGTAAAATGTAACATACTGTGAAATCATGTTTACAAACATAATTAGGTATATATGTTAAGTAATTGTTAACTGAATATTTGTTGTTGTAGCTGCTTCCCTTTATTAACTATTGGAACTCAGTTCCAGATATGTCTATCTCTTCTCAGAATGCCACCTACAAATCAATAAACAAGAGAACTTATTATTGACACTCTAGATACGCTTTCTTCAATATATATATATATATATTAAAATGCACAAACTAAATCAATGAGGTGGAAGGCGTAGCTAGAGTGTCTCTAGTTTAAACTAATTGAAATCCATGGATTATCTATGGAGTCTAGATATACCATGCAACATGTTTTGAAATGATGATCGACATTTTAATAGTTGAAACTCTCTGACTTTAAAGTACTCTAATGATGATTGCTTTGATAACGTTAGATTTGTACAATGTTGTGATGAGGTTGGTTTAACAGGTACTATTGACCAGCAATTAGTCACCAAGCAATTGAAGGCAATGGCACATGTTTAAAGTTATTTTACAAAAATTGTTTTCGTATTATTATGAAATGAATTAAAATCAAAAATGAAAATCATATATAGTTATCATGTATAATTATACTTGGACCTTAATTGAAAATATGTTAATTGACCTTAATGATGATAATAATAATGGAAATCATTTTCTTTCTACAAATTCTTGAAAAACTTGCTGTGGATAAACAAAATCATGGATGAAAGATGGTGCTCAAATTGTTTCTGAAATTATTTCTGTTATTTTACATTTTGTTTTTAATATTCATGATTTTTGTTATAAAATTAATATGAATTATTACAGACATATATCTAT